ATATACTTGATGTCTTCATTACGAACGCTCCTCACGATTGGAAAAAAGTTAAAGTAGTGAAAAGCTTAGTAAAATCTGATCATGATATGGTAATAACCTATCCCCGAGATGTAATTAAAGCAGAAAGAAAAAATTCCTATTTTAGAGATGTAAGACAACATAAGAAAATAAATATGTTATATGAATTAGGAACTGTAGACTGGAATATGATAACCAAAGATGGGCAAACTCCAGATGAAATGACGCTGAAATTTTATGAAACGATGTGGCCGATATTTGAAAAGTGTTTTCCACTAATTAAGGTTAGAACCTCTTCACGTGACCCACCGTTTATGTCACCCCTTGTAAAGCATTTGCTAAAGCAAAGGAAAAGAGCTATACAGAAGAGCGATTCTGAATCTCACGCTCGTTTACAAGACCAGATAAACAAGCTAATTCGAGAGAACCAGTTAAATGCCGTCACACAAGAGAACAAAAATCAGAAAACCGGATCAAAACAGTGGTGGTCCAATGTGAACAGTATTACAGGAAGAAATAATCGGAGTCGATCTGTCAGTGCAGCCTTTGATCCTAGTGAGATAAATGTATACTTTCAAAGTATAAACTCGGATCCTCAGTACGCGGCTCCAGAACCTGTCGAGATCCCTGATGGCACCAGGGTTCCTTCGCTCTCTATAAATACTACTCTACACCTTTTACAAAATCTAAAACGAACAGCATCCGGGCCAGATGATCTACCTTACTGGTTTTGGAAGGAATTTGCATTTGAGCTTGCTCCTACCATAACAAATATATTTAACACTTCATTGAAACTTAGCATAGTTCCTAAAATGTGGAAACATGCAAATGTACTACCAGTACCTAAAGAATCTATCTTAAACTCTCTTAATCAACTAAGACCAATCTCTTTAACAGATATTATAATGAGATTATTTGAAAGAAGTGTGTTCAAAACTGAGATAGCACATGTTACAAGACACGCTATTGATTCAGATCAGTTTGCATACAAGGAAGGTCACAATTCGATTATGGCTCTGATCAAGTGCCAACACACATGGTTAAGATGGTTAGAAGGAGATGCAAAATATGTCAGAGTATTATCTTTTGACTTTCGCAAAGCATTCGATAGCGTTCCACACGATATTTTATGTGAGAAGCTTAAGAAGCTCCCCATCAACCCATATGTTATTAATTGGCTGATTAGTTTTCTGGAGGATAGGAAACAGAGGGTAGTGGTTGATGGAATAGAAACTGAATACTTGAACATTAATCGAGGTGTTCCCCAAGGAACAGTTCTGGGTCCTGTCCTCTTTTCGATCATGGTGAATGACATCAAAACAGTTAACCCCATAAACCAGTTAGTTAAGTTCGCGGATGACATGACATTAGAAGTACAAGGGAATGAAAACGGAGATACATCCCAAGCCGAAGTGGACAGTATACAAACATGGTCTGAAAATAATCGAATGTCCTTAAATATGGAAAAGACGTATGAAATGATTGTTAGGAGAAATATCCCTACGCTGTTGCCTGATCCTTTTCCATTTATTAAACGAAGGACGTGGTTAAAGATTTTAGGAATTACATTACAGGATCTCCCTTCCAAGTGGGATTTGCATTTTGATGAAATGTTGAAAAAAGCCAGTGCAAGAATGTATATAATGCGTGTCTGTAAATACTATGGCTTCCCAATCAAACAACTGGACATGCTGTTTAACACTTTAATTATGCCTATAATCACTTACGGCATAGAACTTTGGGGAGGCGCATACTTCAATAAATACATTAGTCAAATAGACAAATTCATCAATCGCGCTCACAGAAATGGTTACATATCGGAAAAATTGAATATTAAGGAGATAAGCATCAAAAGGGACAAGAAACTTTGGGATAAAGTAATACATAATAAAGATAATGCACTACAGGAGCTTTTACCAGATAAATTAAATAGACACCTTAGGCCAAGGGGACACGAGTTTGAACTTCCATTAGTGCGAACAGAGCGATTTAAAAGTTCTTTTGTAAATCGATGTTTGTTTAACTTTGTTTAACCAATTTTAACCTTTACCTTTCTAACATTATTAATATTTTTATCCATAACTGTATATATCTAGTTATTACCTTATAGATATCAATAATTTTATCTTATATATTTTTATAATGTAAACTCACAGACGGGTGTTCTTGAGTATGAATAAAGACTGTTATTATTATAAGATATATTTTAATCCTACCATTCAGCAGCTGTGAAGATTACAGTTCAAGGCTATAGTCACTGAATCTCTTGCCTATATGCTACTGGCAGGAATATTTAGAACTTGAATCATTCTGTTTTGCGTTATGTCAGTAGTACCAGGTGCACGCGATCAAAGAACACTGGTATCGTAAAATATGATGTTCAACTCACATACTATCAACACTTATATACTATCAGAGTCACTCGTATATGGAACCTTCTAGCTAAAGATATAAGAACCAGCACCTCTATCGATAGTGTGAGCGTTTCTAAATCATTTTTATTAACTAACTATTTCACTGCTTTAAACAATACTTCTAATATCAGCGCTTACATGAAGTGGATCCTGGCGATCGAATTAGTGCCTGTACACAGGCTACATTTTTATTTTGCCGAATACGAAACTGCCAAATAGAGCGTTTGCACATGATGTCACAGCCGCCATGTTGGTGTTCCAATTCAAAAGAATTTTAATTAGATTCTTTTGTCTGGAACATCAACATAGCCGCCATGGATTTTGTTGAGTTGGTTCCTAGGGAATGAATGCAAACGCTCTATATGATTTTGCCGAATACGAAACTGCCGAACATGATTTTGCCGAATACGAAACTGCTGAATATGATTTTGACGAAACTGCCGAATAGAGTATCAAATTGCATCACATGATGACAGAATTGCATAATTGCTTCAAATTGAATTACAAAATGCCATATTGAATTTTGGAAGTGATCACCCTTCATATATTTTAAGATTGAGCCAATGGGCTATTTTTGATGACCTGAGTTTTGAAACCATTTCTACTCGGAATGATTTCGCACCAGGCATGTTGAAAAGTTTGCTTGACCGCGGTGGGGAAACGATCCTGCTACCTTTGGTTTGCTTAACCAATACACTACCGATAGGACGACAAGATCAAGTCGATTCGAATAGGTAATATTTCCGAATTCGATCTAGTTCCTTCCATAGCAGTATGTGCCGTATGATCCTGAATGTAATGAGTGTGGTGCATGTACTCAGGTGAAATTATTTGAGATGCTGCTACTATTCTCACTGTGTCCACTCCCGGTGTCCCAGTTGATTTGGACCCCCGTAGATTTGGACCCCCGGTCCATATCCACTAGTAGATATGGACCCCCCGGTCCAAATCTCCTAGCAGATATGGACCCCCGGGGGTCCAAATCTACTAGTAAATACGGACCCCCGTTGGCGGATTTGGACCCCCCTTCAAAAGTTAAATATATGTAATGTGAATAGAATAATATAAACCAAATTAATAATAGCGATCAATCTGAAGTATTTTATCATAGGAAAATAGAATACAGTGTGACTAAAATCTATGTATAGTATTTGCCAATAACGAATCACTGTGTAACAAAAGCGATAGAAATGGCATTTGGATCGACACGAAACACAAGTTGAAACGTTTGCTGCTGTACACTGATTCCCGCGGCGGTCAAGTAAACTTTCAGCTTGCCCTGTGTAGACACACTTAGTGTAGCATCATCTCAAATGATTTTACCTGAGTAACATATACAACAATCATTACATTCATGAACTGACCTTGCCACAATGTAACTAACTTGGGTGTCTGAAGGCATGGCCTAACCAGAAGAGTTTCGAAATTCAAAGCCTGAAAACTGGAATTTTCCACAAATAATTGTGCTTGAAATTTATCGTCTCATAATGTGCAAATATATTTTTGAAATATTTGTAGTGACAACTACATCATCCTTCTATGGATAGTGATGAACGAAGAAAAGAATATTTTACACAAACTAGTTTATTTATGTCTTTAACATAGTTAGTCCCCGGATTCTTCGAAATTTTGAAAAAAATACTAACAAACACTATAGAACCGTGCCACGCTCCAAAACTGATGTGGCCCTTGAACCTGTATACTTGAGTATGTTTTATTCCCGTTCTATTATATCGCTTGATAAGGAAAAAGCAGTATTTTTGCATCTTTAATTTTAATTCACAGACATAAAGCTATGCTTTGGCAACTCAGTAGATTGTGAGCTTCTCGATCTTATCCGAACTGAAGTTGGAAATCTTCAGGAGTCTGTCACGCTGTTTAATGAAGATTCAAGGGCGGATAAGGTACAAATCATCGCAATCTGTGCACAACAGGACAAAACCTCAACGAAAATGAAAAAGGAAAAAACAACTTACAACATTCACAAACAACAAACAACAAA